TCAATTGAGCTTGATTATGTCGGCTATAGATACTACATTAACGCCCGCATTGGCAGTGGGAGATTTTTCTTCTTTTTTAACATATTCGGAATTAATTCATGTTGGTTGTTTTAAACATTTTCACCAGTTATTTTATTTATAAGTTATAGAGGCACAGTTTTGGAAATAAATCTGAATCTGTACACCAAGTTTGAGTTTCCTGATTATGACAGTCTCGTTTGATACGACATGGAGAAAAAATAGATTAGCCCCGCTTCCATGGTGAGTTGCGTGAATAAATTAAGAACGTTAGTCGTAATGTGACAATGTGGACAGGTAGTCTGTTCATTTGTCATTTTCATTGTATTTAATAAATTAACACTAGGTATTAACACTACTTCCAATATAATTTATACCAGGGACGTAACGACTAATCTATTTAGGGACGTAATGTCTTTTATTTACTAGGCCGAAATCGACCAATCTGTTTAAGGCCGTAACGTTCAAACCCAGAACCGTAACGATCAATCTATTTAGGGACGTAACGACTTTTATTTACTAGCTCTGTAATTAGTCTGTGTTATAACTAAGACTAGGATTATTAGTCTTTGTCTATGTGGGGGGGGGGGTAAAATACATACATATAGGTAAGGCATCATATATTGTTATTATATATATATAATATATTGTTATATGTTAAGTTAATATGACCCTAGCAACCAGTTCAAAGCACGACATTTCTTTAAACTGTTTCCCCCATTTACATCACAGATAAACTGCCCATATCCTGCAGTATAGTATGTTGTCGAAATAGAATTGAATAACCTCGATAGACTTTGTCTTCCAAATGCCCCTAGTTCAGAAATTAGGTACTCATATGCACATCCATTGGCCCGAGAGTGATGTGGGGGGGGGGATTGAGAATAGGGTTTCACACTTATCTCAACCCTAACGAGCGTAAAGTTCAAGGCGCGTAAAACAAGGGACTGTCAATCAAAGGAACAGGAAACAAATAAACGATATGAAGAAACTGCATTTATTACACGTCACTGGAAAAGGTTACATGTACTCACGCGCTAAAACAAGTATTCAGGCCATTTATAGCCTCGGTAGGATCAGCCACTGTAACAAATTTTAGCAGGCTTGGTGCTGATTGGCTCATAGTGCTATGGGCTATGATTGGCTAAAAAGAGAATAGCATTTGAAATGGCGTCTGCTATCGTTATTTGTGCTAGTTCTCTTCGAGTTGAACATGTAATAAGGACGGTTGAATTGAATAAACACAATAACAATATAAGAAAGCACTGAAACACAATTGAATAATATTGAATCAATAATACAAACGAATATCACAGAAATAATTAGGGAAATAAAAGTGGATTGTTTTCCCCCTCATCGACAGGTGCCAGTGTCCCCAAATACTAAATAAATACCTTTCTAGAAATTTCTTTGGCGATATGTCTGTCGTACTTCCTGTGGAGCAGTTTACTTCTAAACTGTCAGTGATAGAAAGGTATTTTAGAATACTAATTTTCATCTCGAAATGTATTATCTGGTAAGTTTGGATAGATGAAGGGTTTATTTATGTTATTTTTCTTGGGTAATCAATGTACTAATTTGAGGTAATCATATCTTCTTGTTTTAATTAATTAAGGAAAGCAGCTTTTTTGTTTAGTAATAATTTAGCTTTCTCAAGTAAGTATGTAAGTTTAGCGTGCACCGTTGCTGCGCGTTTTGCATACCATCTGTCCATTTGATCCCCAGTTTCTGTATACTTCCCTCAACGATATGTTGGAGAGGGCATTGAGGAACGCAGTCGCAAGGGGTTAGGGAAGGGAGAGGATACCAGTGTCCCCAAAATGCTCTTCACCATGCGTCTTATACATACAGTGACATTACGCCCTCACACTGAATAATATATAGCACATTATAATACAGTAGTACACACATACAGTGGCATGATTGGTCAACACACTACGCCCTCACACTGAATAATATGGTATAGGAATGATCATTCTATTCGTAACATATTTGTATATTTTATAACTACTTCAAGTTCAGAATATTACAGTATTTATTTAAATGTTAAAATTATAATATTCATGACGTGATGATCTAAATGTTAACATAATATTCATGATGTGATGATTTAAATGTTAATATAATATTCATCATGTGACGATTTAAATGTTGCTTTAAGCTGTTCGTGATGTGATGATTTAAATATTAATATTATATTATTTATGACGTGATGATTTAAATGTTTAAATAATATTCATGATGTGATGATTTAAATGTTAACATTATACTATTCGTGATGTGATGATTTAAATATTAGTATTATAATATTCATGATGTGACGATTTAAAAGTTGACATTATAAAGTTCATGATGTGCTGATTTAAATGTGAACATTATAATAGTCATGATGCGATGGTTTAAATGTTGACATAATATTCATGATGTGATGATTTAAATGTGAACATTATAATATTCATGATGCGATGATTTAAATGTTGACATAATATTCATGATGTGATGATTTGAATGTGAACATTATAATATTCATGATGTGATGATTTAAATGTGAACATTATAATATTCATGATGCGATGATTTAAATGTTAACATAATATTCATGATGTGATGATTTAAATGTTGACATAATATTCATGATGTGATGATTTAAATGTGAACATTATAATATTCATGATGTGATGATTTAAATGTTAACATTATAATATTCATGACGTGATGATTTAAATGTTAACATTATATATATTCATGATTTGATGGTTTAAATGTTGACATTATAATATTCATGATGCGATGATTTAAATGTTAACATTATAATATTCATGATGTGATAATTTAAATGTTAACATTATAATATTCATGATCTGATGATTCTAATGTTGACATTAAATATTCATAATGTGATTTTCATGTTAAGATAATAATATTGATGCAATTTAAAACATTATGTTCGCCATGTGATGATTTACATATTAACATAATACTTATGGAATATTATTATTAAGTGCTTTGATCTAACTATTATTCATTCTTAAGAATGCTTGTCCAAAGATAATTAAGAAATAATTATTAACAAATAATTAATTAATTTTATTTGTTTAATGTGAAAACAATTTTGTATTCATAATTGGACATCCTTTAACAATCTGCACGAGTGCTAAATCTATCTTATATATGTTGAATCACACCTTTTGCCCAGTGACCTGATTATCGGTTACCGTGGATACGGGTAAATATTGTATGCTCTCCAATCTCGTTGTGCAATTAGCCAGACCGTATATTTTCTGTAATTGTGTTCCCGTCATGCATGTTGACGACACACTCTGGTGTGATTGCTGGGCTATTCGTGTCTCAATTTACCAGACACATTGATTACTAATAAAATAAAATGCATGCATTCCTGTGAGCCAGAACCTGAAATATGCAACATAAAACTTACGCATGGAAAACGCGGTGCTTCCTAAAACAAGCATTTGTAGATTACAATATATCTCAGCGCCTGACAACACCTTGGGGTAGTAATAGACGCATTCGATTTAGGATAGAAAAATGTATCACGTGATCACATGTTTTGTGTTATAAAAGTGTGATGTAACTAGTATTGTTGTTGTTATTTCATAAAATATATTTAATTATTTCACAAAAAATAAATAGTATTCGTCAGAATGTTATAGTATTTCTTGACAACCAAGTGCGCGTCATATAAATTTGAAGCCTATGTGTGCCATGACATGGGTTGGTTTGTTCCATTTACTTATCACATACATAGTACATATACGTGTCTTCTTTTTTGAAACACGTTCATTGAGTTATTGATGCACGACTCCTACCGAAGACAGCGTAAATGCGAGTCGGGTGGAATTTTACGGTGACAGACTCAGACAGTAATGATCTGGGATATATTCATAGTAGACTCCTAGTCGCCGTTATAAAGTTCACATAGAGTGTTTCTAAGTGAATTAGAATATTAATTCTTCAGTGGTGCATATACCACATATGGATAACATTCGTGAATACTTGAATACATCCCACACACCGACACAATGGGCCATATGTGGTAATTGCCATGGGAACCGTACAGTGTGCTCTTCGTCTACGTTTGAAGTTTAATGTCCGGTTGCCCATAGCGTCAGATGGTTCTGTTCACGGTACAAAAGCGCTGGTGATTTTGTGTAACGCAGGCGAGACAACCAGAGCTGATGAACGAATATATATGAACGGTGTTTGGAGTGAAATGCGACGTGACTGCGCCATTACACCTTACAATACGATATCCCACATAGCAACACTTAGAAACACATAACAACAAAATACAAATAAAAAATGGAAGCAAAATTAAAATCGGGTTCAATGTTGTTAACTATTTTGTTTTTGTTTTGTTTTCATATCGATGATGTCATGGCAGTGTCGTCACTATGGCTCACGTGTTATATATTATAGTATATTCCATTAAAATAAAGTTTAAAATGTATGGCATAACCAGCAAAAGATGACTTCCCTGACAAACTCAAAATACTCACCAAGTCTACCTTTTGTCACCCAATGTTTGGGCTTGAGCTAATAAATCTTTTTATATACCACAGCCCTATCAGTCGAATCACGTTCGTACTAATCAAAAGAAAATCAAGCCGCTCAATACAGTAGCTGACCTGCGTTGACCTTTACGCGAACATTTAGGTCAGAAACGCGATCAATTTAATTCGTTGACTGTATGGGGAGTTATTTCTCAGAGAATACAGATAATATTTTAATCGGTACAAATACGGGGCAGTCATGTTATTATTATTATTATTATTACTGACATGAAAAAATACCATATGCACCAAAGTGAGGTTACTTGGCAGTCGAACAAAGTTCCAACGATGACGGTCCTTGGTGCTACGTGTTTTTACCTGTATGGACCATACTGCGCATGCGTGTACATAATTATTGACTCCTTTGCCAGGCGAAGCGGTACTGCGCAGTATAAGCATTTAAATGAAGCCCTCTCTTGTTGCTATTTTGAGCTGAAGTATTTTGTATCAACTATGTTATTCACGGGCGCACACTAGGGTCGATCTACCCCCTCTTGGTCCGAGGATACGGGGCTCACTGTTACTGCGGGTGGAATAATAACCAAGACAGGGTCTGGCTCTCCTGACAACGCGTATTTTCGTAACAAGGTAAGAGAAGGCGAGGCGATTGATATGTGTGAATGGTAACGCACTGTTAGTAATGAATGTACTGTCATTAAATTACTGTTTACGCTGTTCTTAGTGGAAATGGACATGCGACCGCGTGAAATGTAACACCGGCACACGGACGCACTCACATCACAACCCCAGAGCACGGCAAATACGGAGGGGAATAAATGTCACCTTAAACATACGGTTATTATTAAACACATATAAGGTGAACAACCTACAAAGAAAAGAGCTCGTTAAATCTCCAAGTGCAAAATAAACGTACATATCTGTTGTATTCATTGCCTGCACTCAAAGGATCAGCTTAGTTTTTTCGAAACGTTTATGTGAAATGGCACTGCATCGTGTTTTTGTCGTGTTTGTTTCAAACAACAGCGTGACTACTGTGGAAACGGTTTGATTTATGAGTTTTTGGTGGTGGGTTGATTGTGAATAGAGTTCATGTTTTGCTCGCTGACAATTCAACAGTATATGAATAGCTTCTTTGCCATGGTGAATGTCATTTATATACTTGCAGAATTTAGTATGAACCACACGCTGGTAAAAACAACCGCTGCCCACCGTCACGTTGTCAAACACACTTGAATCCAAACAGCTTTGTGGTATGGTTTTGTACAAAATATATAATTAGAACAATGTCATCAGATAAACAAAAACTGTTTCGAGTATAATTACAAAAGACAAGCTATTGGTACTTGCCATGTAGTTTGAACCTTGTACCGTAGTCTATGTATACCCTGTCAGCATTCCTATCAGAGTAACGAGTTTCTCAGATCACAAACCGGTCGAAATAAGAACGAGCTTACACCCTCAATCCAAAGTTAATCCGGGGATAATCAATCTATGTTTAAACTTCATCAGACCGTAAATCAAAGTTATTTGAAATATTGTGACAGGAAATGATCTAATCATTAGATACAAATATGTTGTTTCGCTAGGTTTCAATTACTGGGTTGTTGTATCCTCATACATTTGACAGTTATTATTCTCCACCAAAATCAGGATTTATCAACTATCCATGCCAACAAGTTTTTGAATTATAAAAATATTTTATAATTTAATTTAATAAAATGCACGTATTGTCATTGTTATGTTTTGTCGTCATTTCTGTTTCTTGAACTGCTTTACAGTCGCAGTGACACGCACAGTTGATGACCGAGTAATTTGTGCCTGGTAGAACTCTAACATTTTAAAAATAAGAACCGATAACAGTACATTAGAAAAAAAACTGTCGATCGGCCTTCGCATGCACCTAAAAATAGATTTAATTACTCGACAGTCACGCACAAATGTACTCTACGCGACGAGTGAGCCTTCGGGAAAGGTCACAGTGAGATAATCCCTTAATTATTAGTCGACCTCCTAAAATATGCTAAACTGCATTCAGGGAACTTTTCACGCCGATGTCAATTGTTCTCTAATTGTTTCGAGTACTAGTGTTTTCAGATACACAATATACAATGTCTATCGCAACTGATAAATCAATGAATCGTGGCTATATAGACATGTGTACGTATATTTTATATCGTGTTTGGTTATCAAGTTTTCTGTATTTCCATATACTAGAACAAACTCATAAAATTGTCTGTATGAGTAGGTTTTGATTGAGATAAACTACCAGTTTCAGGCTCCCGTCAGGTATGAATATAAAACCACTCAATCCACTGGCTGTACAAGTTTGAAGTTAAGATGAGTCGAGACAATTTCATTCCATCGTTAGAAGTATTCTCAGCACTTATAAAGGACACAATTCATAATATATAATATGTAGAAAATATGGATAATCGTTTATATTACGCAGTAGGTGAAACTCTATGATATAGGAGTCATGTTTATTTTCGCCCCATACACCCAGATGAATCAATAAGGCGAGCATATATATAATTATTCTATTCATATTGCTCAGATGTATCATTGTCATTCGTGTGAATAATACATGTAGTTAGTAATTTAGACTAACTTGACATTACTGAATTATTGAGTGTACGCAAGAGTATTATGTCAGGGCCTACAGTCGCGAATAGAAGAACAAAGGCGAAGGAACATAAGTTAATAAACGTATTCATTGTATGCGAATTCGGTCGCAGCTGCAACCTATTAAATCTTCAAGTTGATTTTATATATCGACCCTTAAATACAAATTTGGCATGGGAAAAATCTGAAATCATGAGTAACGGAATTCAGTTATGATCATTTCACCATTTCATTTCTCTGAATGTCTGTCTGTCTACAACGTAAACGTGTATGCGACTTCACAATTATTTTTGATAATACATTGATTTCTGAGGTTGTGGTGGACTATTCAACATAATACAACATTAGAACTTATTAGTTTATAAATTGTCCACAATTCATCGTTGTTATGTGTACTACAAAAATAAAATTAATAAATACAATGATAAAATATTTAGGTCAAAGTAATATACATCGATTTCACTGTAATTCGATCACGAATTCTTTAAAATTGGCGTTTTGCCCCTGAAAGCAAGAAAGCGTAGATAACGCATTATAATACTCAAAGTCAACTGCTCCGTTTCTAAGTGCCACGGCTTCTAACATCTACATGGCTGGGTTACTGTGTTACTAACACCGACACCGTTCGATTAACACCGTGCTTAAATAGATTTCATTTATCTATTCAACATGACTGTTTTGGAAAGAAACAGTTGTAACAAAAGTGTGACATTTCGCTTTTAAATCGCACGTACACCACAGTATTCTTAATAATACACATATATACAACTACAGTCCCCCTATAGAGGAACTATGATTCAACTGGGCCTAATCCCGGCTATGCTCGTTATAGGTACTGTCAACACGTATGTGTATGTTTGTTTCGTAGATACGGCTGGATTAAACATATTGTACATGCGTATAGGCCTCATTCATCGCCAGTTGTATAAAAAGCGACCCATTGACTGGTATTGTCCCCTTTCACGCACGACAATCGCACAAGCAGCGTCAGAAGAATAGAGGTCTTATTTTCGCGACACAATAACCGAAATGTCTCCACGTTCACCGCACCATTCTGAGAACCCCTCGAGTTGTTTTATCCGGCCACATTTTAAACATATTACCCGATATATAGAATGTACAGATCTTTCAATGGACTGAATCACCCCTTTGTGATATGCAATAATGATGCGAGTTCAGATTTTGGCTATGAAATCCTGGAACATTACTTTACACTGGGGCTCATAAAATAAAACAGTTAACTGTTACGGCTTTGGCAAGTTAGGAAACTATACAATTCGCACAGAGCTCTTCGAAACAGCTAACACCAGGACAGTATAACGGATATGTATTTGACGCAATACGTTCGTATCCATGCCAACCATATCCCAATCATCTCTATTGTTTATTAAGGATTATTATGATCATTAGCGCTTCCCATTACCATGGTTACATGAATATCGCTTTATCCCATTATACGAGACATTTACCTAACAAACTCATTTTGTTGTGCACCCATGTGAGCTGTACAGTATCATTTTTTTGGAAAATTGCTTAAACTACATTTAGAACCAGTTGCGTTGAGGCGTCTTGCTATGGCAACGAATACAATATTAGTCGGTGTAGGTTGTCCTTACGTAGTATAGCTCTTTCAGTATTCGCCTATGGAGAAGATGTATTCGTGCGTTGTCAATGGCAATTTATAGTTGTTGTGTTGTACATAATAACGTCTCGCGTCTCGCCCGTCTGACCCATGTAAGGACGTTACACCAGGCTGTCCTCCTGGGCCATAGAGGGACGTTACACCAGGCTGCCTGTCTTGGGCCATAGGGTGACGTTAAACCAGACGGGCTGTCATGAGCCATAGAGGACCTTTCACCAGGGTGCCCGACCTGAGCCAAAGAGGGACGTTAAACCAGGCTGCCCATCATGAGACAGAGAGGGACGTTAAACCAGACTACACTTCCCGAATCATATAGGGACGTTATACCAGGCCGCCCTTCCAGAGCCATATAGGGAAGTTACACCAGGCTGCCCATCCCGTGCCATAGAGAGATGTTACACCAGGCTACCCATCCTGAGCCAGAGGTATGTTACACCATGCTGCCCGTTCTTGGCCATAGACGGTCGTTACCTCAGGCTGCTCATCCCGAGCCATATAGGGACGGTATATCAGACTTTCCGAACCTGTGCCCTATAGGGACGGTACACCAGACTGTCCGTCCTGAGCCATAGTTGAACGTTACACCAGGCTGTCCATCCTGAACCATAAAGAGACGTTAAACAAGGCCGCCCTTTCTGAGTCATAGAGGGACCTTACACCAGGCTGCATGTCCTGAGCCTTATAGGGACCTTACACCAGGCTGCTCATCTCGTGCCATATAGGTAAGTTACACCAGGCTGCCCATCCCGTGCCATATAGGGAAGGTACACCAGACTTCCCGTCCTAAGCCATGTAGGGACATTACACCAGACTGCCTGTCCCGTACCATATAGGGACAGTACACCAGACTGTTCGCCCTGAGCCATAGAGGGATGTTAAACCAGGCTGCCCAACCTGAGCCAGAAAGGGACCTTACACCAGGCTGCCTGTCCAGAGCCATATAGGGACGTTACACCAGGCTGCCTGTCCGGAGCCATATGGGGAGGTTACACCTGGCTGTCCGTCCTGAGCCATAGAGGGATGTTAAACCAGGCTGCCCAATCTGAGCCATAAAGGGACCTTAGACCAGGCTGTCCCTCCTGAGCCATATAGGGAGGTTACACCAGGCTGCCCAACCTGAGCCATATAGGGACATTACACCAAACTGCCTGTCGTGAGCCATATAGGACATTACACCTGGCTGTCCGTCCTGAGCCACAGAGGGATGTTAAACCAGGCTGCCCGCCATGAGCCATATAAGGACATTACACCAGACTGCCCTTCCTGGGCCATAGACGATATTACACCAGGCTGTCTGTCTTGCGCCATATAGAGACATTACATCAGACTGCCCTTCTGAGCCATAGAGGGATGTTAAACCAGGCTGCCCAACCTGAGCCATAAAGGGACCTTACACCAGGCTGCCTGTCCTGAGCCATATAGGGACCATACACCAGGCTGCCTGTCCGGAGCCATATAGGGAGGTTAAACCAGGCTGTCCGTACTGAGTCGTAGAGGAACGTTACACCAGGCTGCCCGTTCATAGCCATAGAGGAACGTTACACCAGGCTTTCCGTCCTTAGCCATAGAAGTACTTTACACCAGACTGCCTGTCACATGCCATATGTGGATGTTACACCCGATTGCCTGTTCTGGGCCATAGAGGGACGTTACACCAGACGGCAGTCCTGGGCCATAGAGAAATGTTACACCAGGCTGTCCGTCCAGTGTCATATAGGGAAGGTATACCAGGCTGCCCGACTTGAACCATAGAGGGACGTTACACCAGGCTGCCCATCCTGAGCCATATACACCAGGCTTCCGCTCGAGTTATAGGGCTGTGATACCTGGCTACCCGTTCTGAGCTCAGGGCCTGATGATTTATTCGTGTGGTTGGTTGCTGAAGTCAATCCATGGACGTCTATGTCGCGGAACGACGAAATTATAGAATAATATTCGTTTCTGTCCGACCAGTCTGCGCTATACTAATCACGAGTACCTATACTAATAATATCACTAATATACTATACTACTACAGTGTGAACTGGTCGGACAGAAGCAATTATCCACGGTGGTGGCGGCACACTGGAAGGGGGCAGAGCTCCCCCCCCTCAAAAATCAAGCTGAAACCCTTTGTGTCAGCAAAACTTGCCCGTAAAAATGCAGGAAATAGTGTTTCAGAGGGTTTATATTTCAACGTTTTTAAGGGGAGCATGCCCCGGACTGTTTAGTAAGGTCGCGCCTTCGGCGAAGGTTGGTGAGCAGATCTTGCCCCCCCCCCCATGCTAAATTTCGTGCCGCCGCCTCTGTATATTAGTGATTTTATGGGGGTTCGAAGTGT